TGGTCACAAGTTCTTTCGGAGCTGTTCTCGAAAGAGCAATTCTTGAAAGAGCTCTTTCAGACCCACCTACCTCACAGGGGTGGGGAAGGGAAAGAAGATTGTAAGCTGCTCTGAGACTCCTTCAGGTAGTGAAGGGTGGGATATAAATAAAAACTACTACTACTACTACTACTACTCTTCCTCCTCCTCGTCTTCTTCTTTTTCTTCTTCTCTTTCTTCTTCTTCTTCTTCTCCCCATTAGATTAATGGGGGTGTCTTCTTCCCAGTTGTCCACAGTGTGTGCTTTTTGAAAGAGATTGGAGAAGTCCAGTTCTGTTCAGTGTATTTGGATTGGTATCCGGATTGGTCATTGTGCACATGTGCAGCCAGCCTGAAAGCCAGCATGATGTATAGTGACTAGACTGATGGACTCAGGGGAAGGAGAGCCAGATTCCTCTCCCTGCCCAGCCACAAAGCTTTCCTAGGTGACCTCATGAGAATCACAGTCTCTCAGCCTAACCCATCTCACAGGGTAAGGCAAGGCTGAATGAAGTTTGTTCTGACCACTCCTGACCTTTCTCTTCCTGTATTTTTTTTAATTGCCCATTATCCGCGCATGCCCTTATTCAGCAGCTCTTGCATCTGCCGGAAGATTGGAACTGTGCCCTTCTGTGAATACCGACCAGCCTTGGATGCTTGCCTGGTGCCCACTTTTCAAGCAACACTGGACAGTGTGTATGGAGGTGGGGGGGAATGTGTATAAGAATTCTCCTGATTGTTCACCCCTCCTTTCAGATGCATCGGAACAAAATGTTCAAGCCTGTGCCCATCTTCCTCGGCTTCCCATGCTATGGGAGGCTGTGAGCAAGTTCATTATGGTGTGATAAATCAGCCAATAAACTTGCATGCATTGTGCTGTGAAAGTGTTTGGGCAGCTCCTGTTCCTTAGTGACAGCTGCTTGGCTCAGAACATGGTAATTATCAACTCAGAGAGGGAGAGTGTTAGAATGAGAATGTATGCATAGGTACAGGCAGCAGAGTGGCATCATAGCAAGGATGTGATTTGTCTCACTGTCGGGCCACGAGGTGTAGCCTCATGACAAAGCCGGCTGAAGCTGCCCTGTGCTGCAGGTCAATCTCTGTTCCTGAATCCCATAACCAAACATCAGTCCTCAACAGCTGGCTTTCGTGTGCACACATACTTCCTCAGATACATTTCATTGTATTTGAGGAAGACTGATTTTCCGCAAGCTGCTGGTCCGTGCTCGCTCTTCCCTTTGCCCCAATTGTACGTGTCAATTTCACACCATGTGCCGCATGGCTGCATTTTGCCCCGCAGCTTCGCCCAATTTCCCCTGCATCTACTCAGTCAGGACTGAGTAGACGCAGGGGAAATCAGGCGAAGCTGCGGGGCAAAATGCGGCCACGCAGCACATGGTGTGAAATTGACACGTACAATTGGGGCAAAGGGAAGAGCGAGCACGGACCAGCAGCTTGTGGGAAATCAGTCGAAGTTTGCATACCCATGAAAGTTTGTACAGTAATAAAACTTTGTTGGTCTTAAAGGTGCCACTGGACTCATTCTTTGTTCTGTATGTAATGTAGTGAGCTTTGGCTCCTGAAAGCTTAAACCCTGGAAAATGTTGTTGGTCTTTAAAGTGCTACTGAACTCAGATTTTTTTCTCCTGTTACAGAGTAATAATGGCTCCCACCTACCTGCCATTTCCAGGCCATCTATGCAAGTATCAACTTTCACAGGAAAGCAAGCAAAAATGCAGCTGATCATCACCATGGCCTTCTCTAGAGCTTCTCTATGACTGATTTCACACAAGAGCTGCACCGTGGTCACGCTTCCCTTTGCCCTGCTTCTATTGGTCAATTTCCCACTCAAAGCTGAGCAGCCACATTTTGACCCGTGGTTTCGCCCGATTTTCCCCGCGGTTTCGTGACCCTGTTTTGAGGATCATGAAACCACAGGGAAAATCGGGTGAAGCCATGGGTCAAAATGCGGCCACGGGGCTTCAAGTGGGAAATTGACCAATAGAAGCGGGGCAAAGAGAGGCGCGACAGCGGCGCAGCTCTTATGTGAAATCAGTCCTACAGCCTTAAGCAAAAACCTAGATGTAAAAGGAAACATTTAACAATCCAAGGCTGCAGTCTTGTCAGTGGGCAGTTGCTTTGGCACAAGCTCCTTTGGCAATATTGCTCTTCTTGTCTTATTTCTCTCTCCCTTGGTTTTTACCTCAGAGCAAGAGTGTAAATCATGTTTGCGAGAATGAAATATCTTCTTTATCCCAGTTGTTGCATGAAGCAGATAGAGTAAGTGGCAGTTTAATTTAAGAGGAGCAAGTGATGAGAGCAGCAGAGTAGGTTGGATTTAATTAAAAGAGGAGGACATACTCTGTCTTCTTGGGTTATGTGAATTTACCCCCTCTCCTTCCTTTTCTGTGCAGTGTAGTAAAGGGGAGCAGCTGTTAAAGAAATAAAAAACGGAAGTGAGAAGACAAAAAACATGGTCTGTTTTTCGGAGTTTCCTCTCTTCATAATTTGTTTCTTGAAACAGCAGTGTTCAGAATTGTTTCCTACATGGCTCACTCAACTGTGATGACTAAAACTGTTTCAGTATAATCAATGGCCCATCAAAAATGAAGCCCCCCCCTCCCCAACAATGCAAACCTAATCCATGCTCCCATTTGATTTTCTTCTTTTTCATCGATTGTTGCTGAAAAGCACAGGTATTGCAAACCATCACAGCTGCTTCCACTTCATCAAATTTAAATTGTTTAGGTATTTTTGAAGAGGTTATTGCAGCCATTGTCATGGCTCCCTTCCCCCACCTTACTGCCAAAATTGTGGAGTTGAATGAGGGTACTAAGAAATCCCCAGTCCCTGTCACAGACCTACAATGCCCAGGAAGGATTCCTGTGGAGACACTATGACTGTCCGGAGGAGATCAGGGCCCTGCAGGATCTTTTAGAGTTCCTCAGGGCCTGCAAGAAGGAGCTCTTCCACCAGGCCTATAATTAGGAGCCGCCACCATATTAACACCATATTAACAGCTTTAACTATAGCCCTGGCCCTTGGCTCTTAACACCTAGCCTGCACCGCCTGCTTGTTAGGAAGATCATGAGCAGAATGGTGGTGGGATCTTGTGTACACACTTAAGTACAACTAACTTATTATGCAGCACTTTATAAATTATGACTGTTTACAATTGAATTGTTTTAGATGATTTTATGTGATTTTAATTGTTCTGTATTTAATTTGTGTAAGCTGCCCTGAGCCTGCTGTAAAGTGGGGAGGGCAGGGTATAAATCCAATAAAATAAATAAAAAAATAAAAAAACATTGTAGTACGGATTTTCCCTTAGGATGCGGCTATTTAATTTGGGTGTGTCCATACATACAGGCATACATAAAGCCATGAATTGCAAGGGTATTGGTCTTTTCACCTGTTCAGCACATATGACATGAATATGCCAGTTCGTGTGTAGTGGTTAAGTGTGCGGACTCTAATCTGGGAGAACCGGGTTTGATTCCCCACTCCTCCACTTGCAGCTGCTGGATGACCTTGGGCAAGCCATAGTTCTGACAAGAGCTGTCCTTGAAAGGGCAGTTCTTGAAAGAGCTCTCTCAGCCCTACGTACTTCACAGGGTGTCTGTTGTGGGGAGGGGAAGGGAGAGGAGTTTGTAAGCTGCTCTGAGACTTCAAGTGAAGGGCGGGGTATAAATCCAATCTCTTCTTCTCTTCTTCTCTGCATGGCAAGCAGAGTGACATCACAGTGATGAGCTCTGCCATGTTCCAACACACATCCATTGTGCATGTAGAGAGTGCTCTGCATAAATACGATTTCCAAAAAAGGAGAGCTCCCAGTCCTGTGGACCACCTTCCATTAATGCATATAGGTCAGGGCTGGAGTTGATGCTGCAATGCTGCTTTAACCCCAATGTGCATTCATTTCTCTTCAGGGCTTTTGTGTTCCTTTACTGTAGAAATAAGAAACAGATAATTTCAATCTTTCTCTCTGCCACAGCTGTAGTTTTATTCTCCTAGTGTATTAATGAATACATTGCAAATTATGAAAAAATAAAGCTGCTTATACTGAATTAGACCACTGACTCATCTAGTTCAATACAGTGCAAAGTTCTGTCTGTTCTGACTGGCAGCACCCCCCAAGTGTTAGGCAGAGGAGGTCTTTCCCAGCACTTGAGATGTGTAAACTGGAGGCACCAAGGCTTGAAGCTGGAACCTTCCTACAAATCACATGCTGTACCACCAAGCTACAAATGCCTTCTCTAGCATTAAGTGCACCAATGAAGCCTCCATCCATGTAGGATGGATCATTCCTTTTCTAGGGGCCGCAGTAGGATCATCTTGGGTAACAGGACAGCAGGAACAGCCCAATCTGACTTGGCAGGCGTATGCTTTGAGGGTCTCTAGACTCTTGTCTTATGCTGCAGAGACCACTGGTGCAAGTTAAGTAGGGGTTGATCATGATGTCCAATATCAATTCTATGATTCTTCATGCTTTACCTTATTATCATACTTATGTAAATGGAAGCTGAAGTCTTCAGCCTTGAGAGCAGCCACTAAAGGGAGCGTAGCTTAAGTTGCTCACTTGGTTGCATCTTCCTCTAGCTTTTCCTGTTTTATTCTGTCTGCCTAGGTTTCTGTTCACACAGTGTTTTTGATTGCACTTCAAGAGTCTTAAAAATTAACAGATGCCACTTGAGTTGTTTGATTGTCCATCAGCTGTATGTGTGATCCACAAATATTTATGGTTGCCAGGATTTGGCCCTGAATGGCAGTTCTATGACTTATGTAGCAAATGGTCATTCACCTCATGCAACCTTCATGTCCAGCACTGACAGGGAAGGCTTACCAGGTCAGTTTCTCACTGCCTAACTGCTAAACTGAAACACAGGAGACACAAATGCCAGTGACTGCCTCATACTATAAGCTGGCCTTTTGCTTGGACTTTGGAATTCCTTGCTAATTCTGACTTTATCTTCATTTTACAGTTGTCCAGCACATCAAGAGACATAATATTGTTCTAAAAAGAGAGCTAGGAGAAGGAGCTTTTGGGAAAGTCTTCTTGGCTGAATGTTATAACCTGTGTTCTGAGCAGGATAAGATCTTGGTTGCAGTGAAGGTAAAACAAACAAACAAACAAAAATCTTTGTTTTCAATAAACAGTTGCAGTTATACTTGTTTATTTGTTTAGATTATGAATGTTTTATGTGGAAAGTAAGCCCACAAGTGATGCATGTCCCACAAGTCAGAAGGTTTCTTATAAAAATGCATACAGTTTCTAATGGAAGCTTTTCTCTATAACCTCACATTCTGGTTCAGCATCTTCAGTAGTGATGTCAAGGCACATATTCAAAGCCACTCTTGTTTCTTATGCTTCATGCTTAGACACTAATATGGCCCAGAAATTTGCATGCCTGGGCTCCAGTGAGCAAGTGTTGCTTTTTGAATAGGATTCCTTTCACTTTTTACCTTTTGTTATTCTAAGAACTCAAATATTAGAATTTTAGGCAAACAACTCAGCCAGTTAACCCAGAAGAGAGCACCACCATCTCACTTAATGTTAAAGTATTGCCACATTTTCTTTGTCATTCACTGGATCCTTGACATGCCTTCTTGTTGGTTGCTGGGCAACCCAGAAGAGCATTATGTATGCCTGTTAGGAAATAGCTGCTATTGTGCTCTATGGGAAGGCTAAAACTCAAAATATTTTTCTGAGGAGGGGGGTTGGCAAATATTCTAGTTTTCATCAGTAAATAAGAGGTAATGGCATCTCCTCAAATAAATCAGATTTAATATAAAAAAGAGACCCATCACACACCTAAAGAGAAAGATGTGTGTGAGGGGGGGAAATTTCAAGTCAAGTTTCTTTTTACTTTCAGTTTGTCTGGGGGAGCTTGATTAGATGAGATTATTTTGGATGCAGCTTCTGTACCAAAGAATCTGAGATTTGGATCATATGCAGACTTAATGCAAGTCTTCTAATGCAAACAGAGAGGACAGAGGGAAAACTACTTATTCTTGAATAAGATAGTTATTGCATGTGTTCTAGCATTTTACAGATGCAAGACGATACATGTAATCAGACCTGGACAAATGTCATTCATTCCATTCTACACATATTCCCTAGTTTTAGTGCATCATATTCCACACCCTTCTGAATTTGAATGGACATTCCCACAGTGTGTCTGTGGATAGATATTCTATATGTTTTTTAAATATTTGGTGGGTTTTTTCAATACAGGGTTTTAATTCCAAAAGTGTCTGCAGTTTCGATAAGGTTGGGGACCCCTTAGGCTTGCCAGTCCCCAGGTGGGGGCAGGGGATTCCCCACTTTTGTGAGCTCCTGCCTGCCACTGGCCAGCTGGCTGGCAGGGAAACCCCACCCCCAAACAGATGTTCATGTGCAACATCGGCAATGTGATGATATCACTTCTGAACATCACATTAGGGGTGATGCTCTACTTTTTGGGCAAAGTATACGGTTTGTGGCCATTTTTACCATAGAGTTTTGTCTAAAAAGAAGAGCATTGCCCCGATGTCACCGACATGATGATGTCACTTCTGGAAGTGATGTCATCACATTGTTGACATCCCACCTATTACCCCAAGACAGCTTTATTAAATAAATAACTTGCCTTTGCACCCCCAGAACACCTCCCAAATTCCCCCACTAGCACGAGGTAGGCACCTGGCAACCCTAGGACTCCTGCTATAGTGCAACAGGAGCAAAATATACAGTGAGGTGCAGCTCTGGTGTGACGAACTAACCTAAAAACCTAGGATGCTTAGTGCATCAAACTCAGAGAGCTGGGACATTAGGGGTTAATGCCTCACTGAAAAGCAGTTTGAGTGACAGGCTGCTGCCTGCTCCCCCCCCCCCCCCCAATTGGTCAGCACCAGCTGAGGAGAGTTTTATAAAATCTTGTGAGTCTTGTCAGAGAGTCAGTCAGTCATTGTTTGGATTTTGACTTGGCAGTTGCCAGTCAGGAGGAGTGTGTGTGTGTCTGAGCAAAACAGACAAGTCACTTGAGAAGTGAAAAGACACAACTCCTAGCCTTTACTGTACCCCAATACGTTTGGGGAAAAGTTCACAAATAACTTAATGTCTAAGTGTCAGCACTAGCTGAATTCTCTGTTTATTCGCTGTCTCCAGAACTGGGGTTAGGGTTTGCCAGAAGAGGTTGGTTAGTTAGTGGGAAATTGCCTGCCTAGCCAAACAGAAAAGGGATATTGCTCCTAGGAAAAGGAGGATATTCAGAGGGTTCAACTCAGAAGGGATCTCTGGTTTGAGAAGTGAAAAGGGAAATGGTCTTAGACTCCTCAAGAGTACAGAAAGGGAAAGTTATAATTTCAAAAGGGAAGTAGTGATATAAAGGAAGAAAGTTCTAACTTCTAGAAAACTGAGATATTGTTATGAAACTTTGTTGCTATAAAAAATCTCCAAGACAAACAAAACTTAGAATTCAAGCTTTAAGTATACTCTGTTGCCTGCTCAAATTTTAATTTTCTTATAAAGAGCTAGTTTAAAGAACTCACCATCCCCTGCTCTATTCCTGATACAACTGTGCCTGTTCAATAAAATCAACCTTTTTGTTTCAACTTTACTTTGTGTCAAGTGCCGTTTCCAAAAGGGTTTTATAAGAGGGGTCCCTGCTGACTTACAATAAAAATCTCTGGCCTGAGAAAAAGCCAAATAACTTCTTTAACACTGTGTGTGACAAAAAGAAAGTTATATGTTTATAATTCAAACACGCAACTAAGTGGCTGCTCAGTTAGAGTGGTGAACAGTGTTTTGGTGGGAAGATCTGCCTCACAGAACAGAAGGAGCAGCGGTCCATCATACCTGGTTAATATGAAGAGCACATATAGATTTGTGCATAGAGGGGAGAAGGTTTGTATCCTTTGGTTCTTCTCCCCCCCCCCCCAACATCCATACTTTTAACTGAACTGCTGAAGAAAGTCTTAGCACTTGTAAGTGTACATGGACAGGATCCCTGCAACATTCATGCAAAAGACCCTATGTGCAAACAATTATACATGTCTCGGGCTCTTTGCAGATATTTGCCTGAACCTATGAATGGTGGGAACAGATCCAGTACTTCCACTCTATGCATGTACATGTTTTTTGACTGGCTGTACAACCTTACAGGTTTTCCAGCACCTCTCTGTTTCTTTGTTCAGGCCAGAGCTGTAGAATTCAAAGAATCTACACTGATCTTTTTTTCCTGGCTAGAATGTCATGTATAGAGTGCAAGCTAGAGGCTGCATTGTAGACTGCTGAGCTACAGCTTTTCAAAGGAGATCATAATTCTAACCACAGAGGTGTGAGTTTGTCTTCATTGAAGGATATCCCTCTATCATTTAGGATCATCCTGGTTAAGATGGTTTCAGGAACACTTTTTAAAAAGAAGCTGCCCTTGTGGAAAGACTGAAAAGAGGAGAAGGAAGCAGACAACTGAAAGGGGGAAGTTGTTTTAGGCACTGGGAGCAGTCTGGAAGAATACATAGGCTCTGTTTAGGAATCGCAAAAGCACGGGAAACAGAGACAAAAGAAGCCAGCAGCATTTTGGCGAAGGAGATCCTGCATCCAGGACAAAAGCTATTTGGGGAGGTTGCAAAAATGGGTTAGTGCCCATGCATCAATAACCTATCTGGTTTTGGAAACATTATGCATTTGGCTGTTTGACAGTCCACCGTATCGTTACCACAGCAACAGCTCCATCACACAAATCATCTGGTTCTCAGAAATCGAAAGCACACATTCATTTTGCAATCTTTCGAGACTGAATGTATCAGAACTTAGGTTTGGTGTCTCACCCCCCCCCTCCAATTGTTCTTGAACAACAGAGCAGCTCACCCCCCACCCCATATGTCCTCCAAAGGGCATTTTATTAGCGGTTTCTTTCAGTGTTGTAAAAGACATGCATTTTCAAAAAACTAAGTCCTTTTTATTGCCCAAATGGAATTCTATCTGGCACTCAGATATGGTCCCAACACAGCTGTCCCTTGCAAATTCATTCCATTTCATAATACAGACTGGGCTTTCAAGCCTTGATACTAGGGCACCCATTGAACTACAAGATTGCTAAGATGCAGAGCTCTCTGGAATTTTGGGAGAAAGGTTACCATATGAGGGAATGCATTAGTACGAACAGCAACCGGGAAAATGTTATCCAGTGTTTCAAGAAGAATTTTTTTCTTCCCAAGAGAAAAACTATTCAGTAGTATCTAAGAGGAAAGGGGGGGATTTTCTTTATGATATTCAGAATTATAACAGACAAAAACATGACAATACACAAATTGCATGGGTTTTTTCATGATAAAAAGGTGCAAAATTCTGAAAATGCATATTACTTTCCTCTTTGTTTGGTTTCATTGTTTCTTCCTTTGTGTTTGTAGACACTAAAAGATGCCAGCGATAATGCCCGCAAAGACTTCCACCGAGAGGCAGAACTGCTAACTAACTTACAGCATGAGCACATTGTGAAGTTCTATGGAGTATGTGTGGAGGGGGATCCTCTCATCATGGTCTTTGAATACATGAAGCACGGGGACCTCAACAAATTCCTCAGGTAAGTTCATGAAACATGTCAGTTTGCTGATGGAATAGTGAGAATGTACAGCTGACATTGCCTCTCTTTTCAGGCATTTCATTCTATTGTAATATATGCTAGAGTAGAGTAAAGATATTTTAAATAAATGAAGTACATTGAGAAAGTGTCATTAGTTTAAAAGCAGAAAACATCTAAAAATAAAGGGCAGCAATCTTGAGAACATTTTCTGGGGGTAAGCCCATAAGAATAAAATGGGAGGTACTTCCATGTAGACCTACTTAGGATTGCTTCCAAACTCTACAAAACACAACACGAAATCTGTGCTGTGAGGAGAGAGGCAGGATCACACCCCCAGTATCCATGTATTCACTGGGTCTTCTGAACAGTCTTACATGTGTACATGCTGCTGATATCTAGGCCATTTGTGTTCATACAACTGTACCCCCGTTTTTGCAAGGTCCTGGTTGTGCATACAAAATCTACATTTTGTAGAGCCAGTTTGGTGTAGTGGTTAAGTGCGCGGACTCTAATCTGGGAGAACCAGGTTTGATTCCCCACTCCTCCATTTGCACCTGGCTGGATGACCTTGGGCAAGCCGTAGTTCTGATAAGAGCTGTTCTTGAAAAAGAGCAGTTTCTGTCAAGAGCTCTCTCAGCCCCACCCACCTCACAGGGTGTCTGTTGTGGGGAGGGGAAGGGAAAGGAGTTTGTAAACCACTCTGAAACACCTTTGGGTAGTGAAGGGCGTGGTATAAATCCAATCTCTTCTTCTTCTTCTTCTTCTTCTTCTTCTTCTTCTCTACATGCATACTGCGTATAAGCTTGGTGCATAAGATCAGATGTAGACATTGGGTTTGACAGAGCTAATCCCACTTCCCTCCACACATTGCATATGAAATTGTTTTGTAAAAATTGCTGACTGAGAAATATCAGGTGCTAATATGCACTGCAGTTATGGCTCTAATGAAAAATATGATAGTTTCCACAAAATCTGGACAATCTCAGTTTTGATATTTTTATCAACAGGGCAATCCTAGATTTAATTACTCCAGTCTAAGACCACATGGTTCCAGTGAAGTTAGACTGGAGTAACTCTGTTGAGGATTGCATAATGAATTCTTCACTGAAGTTTGATCAGTTGTCCAGTATTTACTAATGATTTGGTAGTCAGGCTGGGACTGAGAGACATCTCCAACATAAAGAAACAGGCCTGTAGCCAGGATTTTTTGGCTTGTGGGGCAGCCATCATATGTCTGTATCTCTAAAACTCTTCTGCTTATTTTAGAAATGATGGGGAAAGAAGGGACTTCAATGGGGTATAATTCCATAGAGCCCGCCTTCCAAAGCAGCCATTCCCCCCCCCCCCAAGGGAATTGATTACAGTTGTAATCCCAGGGAATTACCAGCTAGTAGTGCTACTTGCAAATATACACATCCCTGGTCAAAGCAACAATTCCTCTGCAAACGAAGCCCCACTGAACACAGGGGGGGGGGATTTACTTTTGCATTTATCATTGCATGAGACTGACTCCAAATCATTACATGAGACTGACTCCAAACCATTGATTGAAAGTCCCACCTTTTCACAGAACTTCAAGAGATTTTCAAAATGCTTCCCTCCGGCCAATGCTGTCCCATCCAATTTAACTACACACACACACACACACTTCTTAGGAACACTTCCTTTTTCCAATTCCTGCAAGTTTAAGAGGCTCTTCCCACCTGTGATGAGTCTGACAACCCACCCCCCCCAACAAGTCTGTGCCTACCAGGGATCAGCTGCACTTTTAACTGAAGAAGATGAAGGGTTGTGGCAAACTACCCTGGGAAATACACAGAGGGAGGGCAGAGAGGGAGAGCCAAGAGGGAGGAAGAGCTTGTGAGGTCATGTGTAGGGTTACCAGCAAACCAGGAAACAGGCAGGGCGCAGCATGCAACACAGCACAACTTTACGGAAAGAATTTTAAAACAATTTAAAAAAATGTAACATATTTTTGCAGCAAGGCCTTTTGGGTCTTGGCTGATGCATGATGGGGCCGGGCCCTGAGGGGCCCCACTGTAGCTACAGACCTGACAAGTTAGGCCCTAAGGAAGCAGATGCTTGTTTTTAGCTGACATTACCACTACAGTGAAAGATTGTTCAACTGTACCTGAGTTAAAACGTTTTATCCACATGGGACACATTCTCAGCATCTGATGAGTCCTGTGGCCCAAAAATGTCTAGCCCTAAGCTTGTTGGATCACTTACGAACAAGTTGTATGGGCTGTGTGATGGGAAGAGGTTGTCTCACTCCAGGAGATGCTGAATCACCTATGGTTTGGTTGAGTTTAGAAGGATTTTTAACATCCCAGATTGCCAAATACCAGAGAGAATTACTACTCCCTCCCTCCAAAAAACCTGCCATATTATATCAGAGTTTTAAGCAAATAGGCTTTGGCTACCGGCTGTCTTCTTCCTTTCCCTGCATCATGACAAACCATTGCCTATTGCTGGAAGATCAGGGAAGGTTTTCTTACCTTATCTTGTAAAAACTGCTGTATACTTTTATTACATCTAGTTTCCTATTGTTGTTGCTTATAGATCTTACTGTGGTCAGATTGCCTTTTTTGTGATGATTGTCAGCTTTTTGCTATGAAAGTGTTTCTTATTGTGATCTCTGGATTTTGATGATGTACTTTTGTCCATTTTAGTGCAGGTCTTTTAGTGTATATGCCTTTCTGTGTTATGTTTGAAGTACTGTCAGGAACCCACTTGTGTACAGAGTGGCAGGGCGTGAATTTGATAAATAAATCAGCAATCTACTAGGTTCTTTGGGCTATAGAAATTCTAGATGAGAGATATCAGTTGCACAACCCAGCCCCCTCTGCTTCTGTAGTAAATGCTTCATCTTGCAAGGGTCCCCTCACAGAGAGGTGAGGCTGCTTATGAAGTCGGCCTTAGGCAGCTGAGTTGTGCTCATGACAGAATCCTTTGGTTGCAAAAGGGCATGGATCCATTTCCATGGGGAGAATGCCTTTGTCTGCACCCTGATGGGATGCACGCTTCCTTGGAAGTGCATCCTACTGTGCTCAAGGTGTTTTTCACCTCAACCCACAGTGCTTTGCAACCATAAAAAAGATATCAGTGATATTTAAAGACAGCATGTGAATAGATGTGTTGTGGGGAAAAGGTAAAGCCTCCCACAATTAAACACAGGCATTAAAAATTACTAATTACTGCAGCCATTCAAAGGCACTGGTGTGGCCTCTCACATAAACCAAGACAGGTGAGTCCTTGTTTTGGTTTTGTTGAGTTGTTTTTTAATTTTTTAAATTTATTTATTTGAATATAGAACACAGAATTATTGCATTAAAACAGACTCCTCAACAATCTTTTACCATTTTTCACAGCTTGTGATGCAAATGAAGACTGCTTGTAATAGGGACCCGAAGGAGCATTGATTTCTTACCCTGCAGCGCCCCCCAAGGCCACTGATCAAAAACAAGCTCTCCCTGCTTCAGCCGCCCCACAAGTGTCCTTCAGTGTTTGCTTCCTGCCACACAGTGTCAAATTGCAGGACAGGATCTGAAGGTCAGGAGCCTTCCTGTGTGCAGCTTTTAGAGCGAGGGGAAGAGCAACGGCACAGAGGCAGCAGAATCAGTATTGCAGTTCTGTAGGCATAAACTGAATTCAAACAAAGAAGAAAAGCCAATGTCTGTTTTCAAATTTAGATGGAAATGATTTTTACAGATTTTAGGCAGAGATTCGTGACTGACAACAGATGTGGCGAGTGACTGCTGCAACGGCACCCCAACTGTAAGCTGACCCATGTTGTCCTACCTGCCCAGCAAGGCAGGGCAAAATGGTTGCTCTCACAAGGACCACTGTTTACAGATGTAAAAAAAAAAAAAGGAAGGATTGGAAGGGTAGAGTGTGGCGGTGCAGAAACATGACTGGAATTACAGAGCATTGTGCCCTCTTAAAGGCATTCCAGCCACAATGGACTCTTAAGCTACACTGGCACAAGCGAACTATTCGGCAGTGAATGAATGACAGCATTTACTGTATATAGCCAAAGGCCATTGCAGTCAATCACAAAGAACATAAAACATAAATAAAATCATGAAAATAACTAGATATAAAAGTGCTTATCATGTTAAAAATTTCACTTTTCAAAAGCAACTTTTGTCTGTATTTTCTTGGCTGCCAAGGCAAACAGCGACCCTCTGTATGAAATGAGTGAATCAGTATCTTTCAGATAGAAGAAAAATCATCTCTGTTTCCAAGAAAGAGTTTAAGCCCACCAGGAGCACTACAGGAAATGTGGTTCTAGGCCCTGTGTCAAGAGGTCAGGGCAGAATATAATGGTGTAAATCCTCTGGAACCAGAGATCTACAAATACAAAAGTCCAAAAGCAAGGGTTTCTTGGAGTAATGACCATCAAGCAAGGCTGTTAGCATGGTGTGGAACCAAACAGATGCAAAGGCTATTCTGAGACTATGAAGGGTAAAGTTAGACAGGTAGAAGACTATGATGTGGTCCCTTTTAATCAGCCTAAACCAGAGTGGTCATCTATCTGTAACTGCATTACACATGAACACCTAGTCCTAAATATTGGTGTTGGCTATAGGGACACCCTGGGTATCGTCCAATATGGAATATCAGTGGAGAATACTGTTGTAGGAAGCTACCCAGGTAGCATCTTTCTGCATCATTGTGACACATTGACTGCAGAGTAGAATTGTAGTGTAGGGTTGCCATTCCACCAGTGTGGCCAGGGGATCTCTGTTTTTTTTGGGGGGGGGGCAATCCATTGCAGCTCAGGTGGTCAGCAGGGAAAGCCCCACCACTGAGAAGCCCCCTCCCAGTGTTGCTGGCACCATCACAATGACATCACCTGGGAATGATGTCATCATGTTTCCAATGTCGGGGGCAACGCTCTAGGTTTTGTGCAAAACTCTATGGATTAGAGGCCCAAAAAATTATAGTTTTGCCCAAAAGTTAGAGCATCACCGACGTTGGAAACATGATGATGTCACTTCTGAGTGATGTTATTGTGGCATGTGCTTTGCGTGCGTGCCAGAAGAACTCCAGCAAGGATCAGGAGTCCCCTTGCCAGCAGCCAGGTAGCACCTGGAATCCTATTTCCTTGCTTTCTTCAGAATCTACCAACCAACAAAAACTGTGTATAAACTACAAATACAAAAAAATTATGTTAAATCATGTGCTGTAACGTTTGTATGAAAATAGTACAAGAAAAATAACCATAAATTCAATGACATAACTCTGGCGACAAAAACTGTCTACCTATATAATATACCTTGTAACTACTACGATACAAAATTTGGGCGTTCACAAAGGTTATGCCTACTGTGATGCTTGTATGATCAAAATTGCACAAACATTCATAAGGCAGAACAGAAAGAGCAATAAGTCCTCTCACAGAACAGGTCTTGACCACACTGTTCTTCTTTCTTCATAAAGAAGCAGGTTCTGCCGACGCTTGTAGTTCTTTGCAAAAAAGCAGGTTCCACCAATGCTTATGCTTGTAATTCTTCACAAGAAAGCAGGTTCCACCAGTGTTTCATGCATTTGCTAGCTATAAGCTTCCCGCGTATTGCCAGTGTGTCATCAAAAGAAGAACCTATAACTCATGGTATAAATTCTCATGAAATCTCATGATGGTTCTACAGCCCTTCAACGAAGTCAAATAAACTTCTAAATCCCATGAAGTGAAATTATAGTTGTTGTTGTTCAGTCGCACAGTCAAGTCTGACTCTTCGCGACCCCATGGACCACATCACACCAGGCCCTCCTGTCTTCCATCGTGCTCCGGAGTTTACTTAATTTCATGTTCATTGCTTCGATAACACTGTGTAACCATCTCACTTTGCTGTCCCCTTCTTCTTTGACCTTCTTTCCTCTGCTATTTGTAAAGCTTCATCAGACAGCCACTTTGCTTTCTTGCATTTCTTTTTCTTTCGGATGGTGGTGATTGCTGCCTCTTGTACAATGTCACGAAGCTCTGTCCTTGTGCTTCAGGCACTCTATCAAATCTAGTCCCTTAAACCTATTCTTCACCTCCACTGTATATTCATCAGGGATGTGATCTAGGTCAAACCTGAATGGCCAGTGGTTTTCCCAACTTTCTTCAGTTTAAGTTTGAATTTTGTAATGAGTAGCTCATGATCTGAGCCACAGTCAGCTCCAGGTCTTGTTTTTACTGACTGGATAGAGCTTCTCCATCTTTGACTGCAAATGATATAATCAATCTGATTTCGGTGTTGCCCATCTGGTGATGTCCATGTGTAGAGTCGCCTCTTAGGTTGTTGGAAGAAGGTGTTTGTTATGACCAGCGAGCCGCCTTAACAAAACTCTGTTAACCTTTGCCCTGCTTCATTTTGTTCTCCAAGGCCAAACTTGTCCATTATTCCGGTTACCTTTTGACTTCCTACTTTAGCATTCCAGTCCCCTAGCGAACACCCATCTTCTTTTGATGTTAGTTCTAGGAGGTGTTGTAGGTCTTCATAGAACCGGTCCACTTCAGCCTCTTCTGCATCAGTGGTTGGGGCATAGACTTGAATTACTGTGATGTTGAATGGTTTGCCTTGGATTCGGACCGAGATCATTCTGTCATTTTTGAGATTGTATCCCATTACTGCCTTTCACACTCTCTTGTTGACTATAAAGGCCATACCATTTTTTCTACGGGATTCTTGGCCACAGTAGTAGATATAATGGTCTTCTGAGTAAAATTCACCCGTTCCTGTCCACTTTAGTTCACTGATTCCCAAGATGTCGATGTTCAGTCTTGCCATCTCATTTTTGACCACGTCAAGCTTACCTTTATTAATAGATCTTACATTCCAGGTTCCTATGCAGTATTGTTCTTTGCAGCATCGGACTTTCCTTTCACCATCAGATACATCCACAGCTGAGCGTCCTTTCGGCTTTGGCCCAGCCGCTTCACTCTTTCTGGGGTTACTTGTACTTGTCCTCTGCTCTTCCCCAGTAGCATATTGGACACCTTCCGACCTGAGGGGCTCATCTTTCGGCATCATATCTTGTAGCCTTTTGTTACTGTCCATGGGGTATTCTTGGCAAAGATACTGGAGTGGGTTGCCATTTCCTTCTCCAGTGGATCACACTTGGTCTGAGTTCTCTGCTGTGGCCTGTCCGTCCTGGGTGGCCCTCCATAGCCCACAGCCTCATTGAACCATGCAAGCCCCCTCGCCATGTCAAGGCAGTGATCCATGAGGGAGGAAATTATAGTAGTATAGGGCTGCCAATTGGGGCGGGGGGCGGGTAAACCCCCGCTTCGGAGGCCCGATTTCTGTCTCCGGGTAATCGGGCCTTGGGGGGAACTCCGCCCCCCCGAAGCACAGTGTGGCTGCGTCACCAGAGGTGACGCAACCACGTCAATCACGTTGGGGGCGTGGCCCCGATCATCGGAGGGAAAACATGGTGTTGTTACATGGTGATTCCCAACATTTTATTCAACCTTGCCGTGTTTCCTGTGTGTTCCATGGTTCTCTAGTCCTTCAAGGCAATAGGCACCATAAGTATTTGGCCACCACTAGCTGAAGTAAGAGTGGAGTGACTAGTAGTTACATAGGCCTGTGGCTGTGCTGCCTGTCTGTCCTGCTTGCAGGTAGGGTACGCCAACATGAGGTTGTGCTGACAGTGTGGTGCTGTGCTGCCAGCATATCTGCAAGAGGCAGGTCCTTTCTTCACTTCACATATTTAACTGTTGGCAACCAGTGAGGGACAAATGGTTGAGGTACTACATAGGCTAGGTTCCCATAGGAGGCCTGGGGAAATATTTGCACAGTCCAAGGTTGAAGGAGGGGATCTTCTATGGAGGTTGCGAACCTCCAGGAATTACAACCTATCTCCCATCTACAGACATCATTTCCCCTGGAGAAAACAGCTGCTTTGGAGGGTGGGCTTTAAGGCATCCCATCACTGCTGAGTTCCTTCCCTTCCCCAAACTCTGCCCTCTACAGGCTCCACCCCCAAATATCCAGGAATTGGCCCCAAGCCAGAATTGGCAACTCTGTTGCACCCTCAGGTGGAAGAATGAAGAATGCCATTTGGTGTTGTACTGTGAGGTGGAGTACCTTTAAGGATGTTGTGTTAGAAATATACTACAACATTGTTTGTTCTTTTCTTTGGCTGTTTGTGCAAAGGGCTCCTCTTTTTGTTGTGAAGTGTCCTTTCTCTAGAGTTCCAGTCATCAAGGGATGCTCAGAGCCTGCCTGACATAAAGCCAGAGCCCTGTGCTATCCCTGTAGAGAGCCAGTTTGGTGTAGTGGTTAAGAGTGGCAAACTCTAATCTGGAGAACCAGGTTTGATTCCCCCACTCCTCCACATGAAACCAGCTGGGTGACCTTGGGACAGTCATAGTTCTCTCAGAACTCTCTCAGCCCTACTTACCTCACAGGGTGTTTGTTGTGGGGACATGAAGGGAAGAAGATTGTAAGCCACTCTGAGTGTAGGGTAGGGTATAAATCCAACTCCTCCTCCTCTTCTCCGACTCCCTCTCCTCCTCCTTCGCTTTTAGATATTGCTTGGGAGAGCTGGGTTTGGCCATTATCCATGACTTCTGAGGGATTTTTTTCCAGTTATGCCAACATTGAAAAATGGCTAAGCCCCCCCCACCCGGTACCTTGTGCTACCCAATTTTATGCTGACAATGGGGCACACTAGTGTAGCACCTATGTTTCTTGTAACTGGGGTATCTCCAGAAACATCAACATATCTTTGAAATGCAGCAGTGTATCTTGCCAATTTGTCAGTGTAGGGTTTATTTGCTATACTAAGCTATTTAGAGACAGTGCTTTGGATTGCTCCCTAAATGTGTGTTTTTCTTGTTCTCTTTCAGCTCTTCTAAAGCCATCTCTAATCTTTAGGAAATGTCTCATTGGATCTGCTTGTATTTTCATGTATTCAATGCAGGGCGCATGGACCTGACGCTGTTCTGATGGCTGAAGGTAATCTTCTAGCTGAGCTGACCCAGTCACAGATGTTGCATATTGCCCAGCAGATTGCAGCTGGCATGGTTTACTTAGCATCACAACACTTTGTGCACCGTGACCTTGCCACTCGGAATTGTCTAGTTGGTGAAAACTTGTTGGTGAAAATTGGGGATTTTGGAATGTCAAGAGATGTATACAGCACAGATTATTACAGGGTAAGCAATTTGTTTCTTTTAATATCAATGGCTTTGATCTGACATCTTGTTGCAGATATTCATGGCATTTTTACAATGCAAAGATTCTTCTTTTTTATTTATTTATTTATACTTTAAACTTATGAATCATCCAATCCCTGAGTGCACAGGGCTCTGGGAGATGTTAAAAGTTAAAAACATCAACATAACATTGTTAAAATTAATAATTCAGTCATTCCTATATTATTAAATAATCTCCAGATGGCATCACTAATTTCATCTTAGACCCGCTCCAGACCATGTTGCCATCTCACGGGCAGGGCGGGAAGGAGGCCAAAGCAAAAAGATGGAAGAGAAAAGGAGGATGCCAGTCATGATGGAAACTGTTGCTGTCCTCAACCAAAAGCCTGGCAAAACATCTCTGCCTTACAGGCCCTGCGGAATTGCATTAAGGCCGAAAAAGCCCTGGCTCTGGTTGAGGACAGCCGGATATCTTTGGGCCAGGGATCACCAGTGTGAATCTAAATCTACAAAGGAGGAAATATTTGAGTTTAAGGTATAAAGGTTGGACTCTGAGAATTAGCTTGTGAATTCCCATGCAGTAGCTATTTCACCATGGTCCCAGATAGTATGCTGACCATATAGAACACAATTTGGATGTAACACACCAGTTTCTTATATACAAAACTAGGTGGCTCTTGTTAGTTTTTTTTCCCATTAGTAGGTGCTCTTGATATCTGAAAGCTACGTGGCAGGCTGACAGCCTGAAAAAGAGGTTCTTGGCTAGTGGTTATCTATCTTGTGGCAGCATATTCTGTTAATTTAAACACTGAGGGGGGGAGTGTCTGTCCTGCTGGGCTGTACATGTAGGACAGACTGAAAGAGGTACTTTATCACAAAATGCATAATGTAGACATGAAATTTAAAACCACAAGATGTCTTAGATGCCTTTAACAAGTGACTAGATAAATTCATGTAGGATACTTATGGCTCCTAGCAAAGATGGCTAAATGAAACTTATGTATTCAGTGCTCTTCTGAACCCCAGAGGAAAAATAACAGGGGTAGGCAGTTGCCTTTGTGATGGACAGAACTTTTTAAAAGCTTAAAAATGCTGTACAAACAGCTGAAGGACTGTGAAGGCTTGATTCTACACAGAGCCAGAGAGCCTTGAGTGACTGGTTGTTCCAAGAGAACTGATTGGTTAGCATCAGCTGAGGGGGGAAAAAAGACTTCTGAACTGGATGCTGAGGAGAATTCAGTCTGATTTCAGCCCTAGCTGAGAAGAGTCAAGTGCTGACAGTTTTGGAATTCACCCCTGACTGGGAGCAGTTTAACACAGACAGGAGAACTGGGAGAAAGTTGTCAAGGATGTTTGGGAAGAAGACTCCCATTCAAGCCAAGGAAAGGGGATAGATCTTCTAGAGAGAGAAGAAAATTCTCTACCCAATCATATAAGGAGTTAACTGTGAAGAGTGAAGAGATCCCTGGTCAGGTGTGGTTTGAAACTGCCTTTAGAGACCTTAAGAGTCAGTTTAAAAAAACTCAAGACAAGTACTGGTGCTTCAAGAGAACTGTACGAGCTTTCTGGAAACCAAAAGAGTCAGAGAAAACACAAAGAAAGTTTAGTGAAGTGTTTGGGGAAACACTGGAACAAAAGCCTCTCAACAAAGATTTACGTCACTGTGAAAAGTTTAACTCTGATTAGCCTGAAACATAAGAACTAAAATCTGTGCATTTACTTCAGTTATCTATATTGAGTTACCTCAGAAATTTTCAAACCCTGATTTCACTTGACCATTCCCCACTGTGTTAAATAAAATATGTTGTTATTTTTGAATTTCAAATGTAATTGAAGTTGTTTAAGTTCAAACGTGATCTTGACCCTTCCCTCAGGTTCCTGGGCTGAGCCAGCAGTAAAATATCATATTGAGACAGTGTGGAACAGCCAGAGTTATTCAGGAAAGAAGAAAACAGACCACTAGGGCTGCTCAGTCAGAAAGGGAAAGAAAAATGGATGGAAAGTCTTCTATCTGAGGGAGGGAAGTGGATGGAAAATCTTCTATCTGAGGGAGGGAAGTGGACAGGGCCATCATACCCATCTTCTTTGCTTGTGGTTTTGCCAGAGGCTTCTAGTTGATCACTGTGAGAAACAGAATACTGGACTAGATGGACTTTTGGTCTGATCCAGCAGGACTTTTCTTATGTTTTATGTTTTAGGATGTGAGTCAGACCATAGGTCCACCAAGCTCCTTATTGTCTATTCTGACTGGCAGTGGCTCTCTGGAGTCTCAGGCAGAGAAAGGTCCTTCCCAACAGCTGCCTCCCGTAAGGTTGCCAGCTTTGGGTTGGGAAATACCTGGAGATTTTGGGGATTGAACCTGAGGAGGATGGGGTTTGGGGCATAATGCCATAGTCCAACTTCCTAAGTGGACATTTTCTCCAGGTGAACTGATCTATGTTGCCTGGATATGAGTTGTAATAGCAGGAGGCCTACAGCCACCACCTGGAGGTCGACAACCCTAGCTTCCCAAGATCCTTTAACTAAAGATGTCAGGGACTAAACATTGGACGTTCTGCATTTGCTTTGCCATGGTGCCTCCTAAGTAATGCTTCACTTGATTTCATGGTTTGATTTTATGATGTTGGCATAAAATATACTGCCACTATATCAGACCCCTGGCGTGACCTGGTCCATGGGGTCGCGAAGAGTCGGACTCGACTGTGTGACTGAACAACAACAACAACATATCAGACCCCAAGTTTAAGGGAGACTAGATTTTATTTCAGAAAAAAGCTTGGTTAAAGGGCTACATCACAGGTGACAATAAATACTTCCTCCTTGTAATAGGCTGCGCACTGCTAATATTTGCTGTCTCTTCCAGTCTTACAATGCCAGTTGTTATTAGCCATTCAGTCGTGTCCAACTCTTGGCGATTCTGTGGGCCTGCTGTTTCCACGTTTTCCGATCTTGTATTGTTTCTTTGAGCCATTCCATGCTCAGGCTGGTGTTGACTTTTATGGTGTCCAGCCACCGTGTTCTTTGGTGGCCAGGTTTCCTTTTGCCGCTTACCAATCCAAGCATAATTGCTTTTTCTAGTGAGTTCTTCCCCATGACATGGCCGAAATAAGTCGCAGGTTTATGATTTTTCCTTCCAATGGCATGCTTGGTTTTATGCACTCCAATACTTGTTTGTTTGTCTCCTTTGCTATTCAAGGAATGCGCAGGAGCCTTCTCCAGCACCACCGCTCAAATGAGTAGATCTTCCTCATGTCTTGCTTCTTCATGGTCTAACTTTTGCAGCGATAGGTTGCTATGGGGAACAGTTCCTACTTTCCTGTAATGACATAACTTGATTCTCATGGATTTGTTTGGATTATGAACTTGTGATAGAGCAGAAATTAAGTTATTACTTATGAGCCAATTTGTAAAATTTACAAAGGACTTAGCCACAGATAAAAGCTTCTATTTAAATTGCTGTCTTTATTCTTACTTCTTTAATGGGTCAAGTTGATGTGGTTATTGTATTGCCTTACATGGGTAGTTGGTTTTGATCAGATGTAAATGAAGGTTTGTGTGCATATGGCAGTATGGTCATGGTGTATATGTCTTTTACTTGCTCATTCTTTATTTAGTGAGTGATTCTCTAATAGGATGGAACCTATTTTGAGCAGCACCATTGTTTGAGAGAAACCGTTTCATTCAGAAGTGAGTTGTTGCACATGGTTAGTGGCAAGGCAAAGCAATTTACACACAAGAACAGTATTTGTTTTCACACAGCTGTTTTAATTAAGAACTGTAAAGAACACTTTTTATTATGGTTTGCATGGTCTGTTTCCTCCTTCAGTGATCCAAGCCTAGCAATTAGTAAACATCTGAAGTAGATTTCTGACATAGTGTCCTCTGGAACTTCAGCTGAGTTCTTTGTTACAGTATAAGCAGGGGTCGTTTCGTAGAAAAAGAGCTAGGGGGACTCATTAGCATAACTCATTAGCATATGCCACACCCCCTGACATCACCGGAAGTGTGTCATATGGCCACACCCCCTGATATCACCGGAAGTGTGTGATAAGGCCACACACCCCGCCCTCAACGGTTCCGGCCGCCGCCGCCGGCCTTGCAGCTCCACTGCCGAGCCCCATGAGGGGCCCAGCGGTGGACCTGCAAGGCCGGCGGGAGTCCAAGGAAGCCCCGCGAAGGCCCTCCTTGGCCCCAGGCAGGCAGGGGCGGGGAGAGGCAGGGAGGAAGCAATTTACCCTCCCTCTTCTCCTGCCTCCTCCTGGCTGAATGAGGGCTGGAAGTGGGGCGGCCGGAAGCAGGGGGCGGGGCTTTGTCATGTTCCCCGTCCCCGTACCTCACCCGGGGGAACTGCAATCCCCCGCGATCTCCCCCGAAATGACCTCTGAGTATAAGAAATAATATAACATCAACAGGTAGTAGAGATGAGTGGTTGGTGTACAACTGTGTGATTTTGCTACAAGAAAGTATTGTCATTAATTGGTTTTTATATGCAAAGTTTTAACAATTTCCATCCATTGGCTCTTCAGCTTGTGGATTTTATGAGTCCTGCTTGACGATTGTTGTTCACAGAAACAATAACTGAAAAGATATTTATCATATGACCATAAGAAGAGCCCTGCTAGATCAGACCAATGGTTCATCAAGTCCAACATTTTCTTTCTCTCAGTAACCAACCAGATGCAACTAGACGGCTTCAGATTTGTCAGATTGGCTGACTGGAGGACAGAGAAGGAATCAACTCTGCCTTTCCATCCTCCAAGCCAGCACATATTTTATGTCAGTTCTAGTCATGCTGTTTAAGACGATTCCCAGTAAATCTGCGGTCTAGTAAAATGCTGGAATCACGGCAGTAGTTTCCAGGCTGTTTTGGAAAAGCCTAAGATTCACATGGTAAAGCTCAAGAGCAGCAGATAAATTTTCCTGAAAACGGATAATTACTGATTTTCTCTTGATACATAAAACCACAAGTCTAGGAGTACTGGGCGTATTCCCTGATAACA